GAATTTCATGAATTCACGTTAAAACTTTGAATATTTACGATTTTAACTTCGTGAATACTTGATTTTTTGAATTCGTGAAATTGAATTGGTGAAGTTTAAAACATTAAGCCATTTATTTGAAAATGTGAATTCGATAAGGTTGAAAATGTGCATTCGATTATTTAAAAGCGTGATTTCATGTTATTGAAATTGTGAATTAATGAAACTGAAACAAACCGTGAATTCATGAAGTTAAATGTCGAAATCGTGCTACCACGAAGCTATAAAATACATTTTAAAATGTAAATTTGCAATGTTTAATACTTGAAGTTGAAATTGTGAATTCGTGAAGTTGAAATTGTGAACACATGAAATTGAAATCGTGAATTTATGAAGATTAAAATGTGGATTATTTATGGTAGAAATATGGAGTGAGTGATTGTTTCGTACTTTAAATAGTTTTTGAAAATATGAATTGTATGTTAATGTGTATGTTTGTATCGTTATAATTCAAATATGAAATAAATGAAAACATATTAAAACGTGAATTCTCAAAGTGAAAGTTGTATTGTGAATTCATGAAGTTGAAATGTCCTCCAGCAGTCTTCCGTAATATTGTTTGTAAATATGATTTCTTGCATCCCCATCGCGCTGTCTATTAGATATACATTTTGCGTTTACACAATTCTATAATGTACAAGTTTATTGTAATAAATTAAATCACAATCATAATGGATATTTCAAAATCCACAGGCCACGAATACACAGCTTACAAAAGAATAGTAACAATCAAATTGAGTCATATTGTACGCTTGTTGTCATTAATTTCCTGGATACATTGTATTCTAAAGACAATAGGAATGACACACACAGTCAAGAACTAATAATTGCCGAATCATATGAAACGATTTAATTTGTATAATAATTAATATTTTAAATTAAAAGGAGTGAATATTCATTTTAAAAACGTGTTTTTATTTATGAAATGGTAAGTACTCATACATTTCTGATAATGTTTTGCAAAGCTTTTTCTTTCATAAATGCGAGCAAATTAGATATATTAATACATTAAGATTCAATGTTTGTCCTTATCTAAGTTATTGATGAATGTGTAAAAGGTTTATTTCCATTTTTATCATTTTAGGTTGTTTGAAATATGTTTTGGAACTCGTTACTTCTGGCTTTGTTAACAAGATGTAAGTTTTATATAACGTTGATTTTCATTATCTGAGAAAGCAAGAAATCAAAAGACTTCTGATAAAAAAACATCGTCAGTGAATGTTCCGTCCGTCGCTAACATTCTTACCTACACGAAATCTTCGCCTATAACTCTTCATCAATAGTGAAACATTAATGATCGCCTATAATATTTAATTGTTCGCCCCGCCACCACGCCAAGCGGAAAATGTTAAAATGACAGGGGCGCGGAGCGAAAGCAGGCGAATTAGCGGGGGCACGTGGCACAACGTCGAGATTAAATTGAAATAAGGCGGGGCCGCAAAGCGAAATAGTTATTGTTCCAGTTAAAAGAACAAGCTAATAAGGGATATCATCAACGCTTCTTTTTAACTTTATGTTTATCAACCTTGTATAACACGAATTTAAAGAAGGAATAAGAAATAGCTATATTATTTTTGGTATAGTGATTTTGTTGTTTTTTCTCTCAGTTGTTTCATGTTTCTACAATCTACACTAATTTTTTAAAGATCTCTGGATTGCCGGTCCAGTATGCTCGCCGCTATGGTAATAAAAGTGATGACGTCACAATAAAGTTAAAAATAACTTTAATATATAAGGCCAATTAGCACGAAGAAAAAGCAACGGCCGCTGTGGTGTAGTGGTTAGCATACTGGACCGGCAATCCAGAGACCCGTAGTTCGAGTCCCGGCTAAGGCGTGCCGATTTTTCGTGCCGATTTATATATATATATATATATATATATATATATATATATCCCGCTTTTACGCTGCAACAACACAGTATAGGCCATATGGCGAGTTTCCAGCTGTAAATTACTGGTGGAAAAAGGCCCTCTTTGCTTTATCAGATAAACGGGCACCCGAGTAGAACCTAAACTAGTTGAATAGCTTTCTCGCATGTAGAATCCGACGACGCCTACAGCGAAAAATTGCAAGTTGTTTGATATCAAATACCTTAAGCAATCGGTCATGGACGCCCCCCACTTTGATACTTTTTCCTCTTTATCTATTTCGTGCCACTTGAGTAGCTTAATTATTTGTCTAGATATTTGTGTTGTTTTTACAGATTTGGCATCATCGGATCCTATTCTTTTTCCTAAGTTTAGTGACGTAGTGGAAAACACCAGTTTAGTATTGACATGCTATGCTTCAAAAAACTCAACTGTAACAAAATGGAGTACATTAAATACCAAAAATGCATTTTCAGTCTTGACGTTTTCGAAAAAAGGAGAATGTACTACAACTGGTTTTATTGCTGAGGATGAAAATCTTGAAACACGCTGCTTCAGTAATGGTACTTTCAAAGTAAATATAAAAAGTGTGGATATTAGAAACCATGGTCAAGTATGGCTTTGCTCTGAGGAATTTAATAAAAGTAATTTTGCTAATATAAGCGTCCTAGGTAAAGTTTCTTTTATTTCCTTCCTTTTTCTCTTGGTAAAATAAAGATAAATATTAATGGCCTTGTGTTGGGTATAAGATAGTGATAGATTGCCAAATTCGTATTTTGTACCTATCTTATGGTGTATGTCAAATGTCATATTTATTTTTATTCTTATATATGACATAGTGATTTATAAACTTCATTAAGGAATTTGTTACCTATTGTAATATGATTTCATGTTGATTTGTTTTGATTGAAATGAAATTTGGTTTTAGACGGATATTGTGGAATTTTTGCCAAAACAATTATGCAAATAACCGATTTTGATTTCATAGCGAGTATGTGAACCAGTATTGTCAATGACAGCTTAGCACCGTCGTTGCATACTCCCTATCAGATTTCTTAGGTCATCACATTATATGATGTAGAATGCACGGTGCTATGTGGAAAACTTGGTGCTTAGCAAACTTTAAGAAGTGTATATTTTCCCTACCATCTATGATTTGTTAAAATAGGGAGAAATAAGAATCCCTAAAGAAAGCCCAAACACAGAAAAATTGAAAATGTTGCAGGCTCGGTTTGATTGAGTCTGTTCATGGACGGTACTGTAAAGTGCAAACTACCGTCCACGCCCCCTAGCACCGGCTTAAGCAGAATTCAACATTTAACATGAACTGGTAAAATTTAGAATTTTGAAACATCCGCAAATGTGTTCATATTGCGGTTATCATGAAACCGTCAATGCGACACGTAAGTGCCATTCCATGAAAAGCGGCATTTGGTCCCGAAGTAAAATAATGCCTGTGTCCTAAACGAGAAAACAATGGGCGGAAATAAATAAAATCGAATTTTAAAAGGGGATCTGAGGTTATGAAGCCTGCATATCACAGATATGACGTCAAAAGTCAAAACATAAAAACTATAATAGTCAAATACTGCCCAGGGTTACGTATTCAGTCATGTCTTGAACAAACGGTACGAGTCCGCACTGTTCATGCATGCCGGCGATTTCTTTGACTTAAAATGGTTCTAGGGGAAAAACTCCATATGATCTGATTACCATTTTTCACGTGAGTTCTCCAAGTATATAGAAAGGTTTCCACAGAAATCCGTTACGTTTTCCAGGAACTCCGTGACAGTTATCATAAGAACTCTAAACAAGTTATCATAAGAACTCCATCATTCATGTAACAGTTCCTCCCCCGTGCATTAGCCTTTGTAAAATCAGAGTATCCTTGCTGGTACACGGGAGTGGAACCCCATATGTATCTCAAAAATGAGCATCGGTAAAAAATATATGTGAATTTCCGCTGCACCATATGTGAAGCATAGCACCAGATGTGATAGTTCTGGCTTCCAAAACTTTATAAGCCGCTCTTTAACATTTTTTGTTTTTCATCTGATGCGGCATTAAAGTTTTGGATTTGACCCGTTACGAAACCTAACCAGAATAACATTAGTTGATTTATTCTTGTTTTTCACTTGCAAATACACTTGACCGAATCAATTCTTGTGCATTTTACGATAAAACAATTATTTTAATATCATTCTATACCAATTAAAGTATCAAAATATTAATACCGTCATTAAAATTGCCTATTTAACTGTAAAACATCAATTTACGCCGACTACAGTCGGCCATGACATTCAGGTGCCACGCGAGACCTCGTATGACGTCATTCGCGGGAACAGATTTGAATAGAGTCGTGTACTATATTTAGAACATTTTGTTGACATGATTTCAATATTTTTATTCAAGATAATGTTTTTATTTATTTTCATAAAATTTTCAGTACTTAAATATGATTTTATTGAATATAAAAGTCAGTAAATCACCTTTTTCAATATCTTTAAAAAAAAGTAATGTATAAAAATATTGGAGGCACATGGGTTCATAAAGGTCAATCTCGTAATCACGTGGTCAAACATTTTGGCAATATGGCGGCCAAGTGCCGAAATTTTTACCTGTCGGAAACTATTAGGTAGTTTATGTTCCTAATAAGATTTTTATTTGTCCATCCTTGGCTTATCAACATATTATATATAGTTTTATCAATGTATGCTTTACTTTACTTCATGGCATGTTCGATGAATAAATACGAGCGTGTCAGATTCCTGGCACGATTATTGGTGGACTTTCCCTACGGGGTTATCTTCAGCGTTCACGTCATGTCATAGTATTTAAACGGGTACGCTGAAGACCTTAAGCTACAGATGTGACTGTAAAAATAGGTCAATCGCAGGGTTAGTTTTTATCTTTTTAAACAGTTATTTAAAATTCAATCCTTTTTTTTAAGAAAATCAAAATGCGATTCTACCCTCCTGACTCTCCTCTATATTACCCATTTTTTGTTTTGGATTTCTATGCAATATTCATCGAGATATTCTTTCCGTCGTGGGTTCTGGTGTGTCCAAAACTGCTCATTTTTGAGATACAAATGAGGTTCCACCCCCGTGTGGTAATGCATTTGTCAGGAGAGCTCCATTTTCCTTAAAAGACACACAACTTACTGTTACATATGACTGCATAAAAATTGCGTAATGATTCAACTCTTTGAAGCGGAAATAATGCAGACCTAGCGTGCTGATATCTGAACTGCACTTTTAGATCTGCCGGAACAACGCCTTATAAAATCACATATTCAGATAAGGAACTGAAATTTCGTTTTCCTTTTCAGTTTCCATCAAATATGTAAATATCAAAAATGTTAACGGAAACATAATAGGGATAGAAGAATATACGAAAACTACGTTAGCTTGCAAGACATCTGAAGGACGACCTGCTGCAAATATTACATGGAAAAAAATATCAAAGAAAGGTTTCATCACAGATCTAACGAAAAATGCAAAATATCACATTTCAAGACTAGAAAGTGGCATCACAATAGCGGAAAGCAGTATTGATTTGAAACCAAAAAGAGAGGATAATGGATCGCGTATAATTTGTGAAGCTATAAATAAGATATCAAATGTAACAAAAAAGGAAGTTACACTTCATGTTCAATGTAAGTTTATGTTTAACATTATACACATGATTTGTCCGTTTAATCTCATTTGATGAACAGGTTAAACATGTCTATTGCTGTTTATACCTTGAAACGTGTTACAATGTCAGGGTGTCCGTTTGACCCTTGAAATGACTCTTTGACCCTTGAAATTCCAAAAGGCCTGATTTGACCCTCAGGATTTTTACTGGAGGGTCAAATTTTGTTCATGGGATTTGACCTTGTAGTCGGTAAAACTCAGTCAAAATGACCCTCAGGATTTTATGGCATGTGAACACCCTGAATGTATATTACATGTACATATACATATAATGCTTACTTACAAAGCTGCAATAGCAGTAACTTGATATTTACTGACATATTATCACTTTCCGTAATAAGACTTGAAATTCTATTATGATACCAATGAGAAAACTGTTGCAAAGCATCTCGGGCTATTAAACATCAGGTTTAAAGTAGTCTTTGGTTTTTACCGATGACTGCGATTGAATGTTAATTTATAAAATGATGTTACGCCGTGGTTTACTTAAGCAAATAAATTTTCATAAAACTGTTAGGCTTAAAATGGCCTAAAGATTAAACGCCTGCCTAGGGTGGGCAAGTATTTTTCTTGATAAATATCGTGACTGCGAACCTATAATTTTCAATTTTCATCTCTATGCATAAAATACGGTTTCGCAGTGACATAGGCCACAATTGTACGTGCATCTGTACCTATGTAAGTCACATATACCTTGTTTGAACATTATGCCACTTTGGCATAAAACCTTTGGTTAGCCGTATAACTAGATGAACGCATTTATTTCCTTCAGTCACAGTTGTCGAGGTCACTATAACTTTGACAATTAAACAGCCGTCTAGCGGTAACTAAAAAAACGCGTTTGCATTCAGACCTATGCCTTCAGACATAAAATTGGTGTGAAGGTTAATCTATATCGAACTTATTTTAGTTCCATGTTGTAGAAACTTATTAGCTTATATATATACACCTTCGAATCCGTTCCTGGAACCAGTCACTTATGAGCAATGAATGTAAAGTTTCTTGCTTAAGGAAACAACGGCTTACCAAGACGGAGTTTAAATCTAAGTAGCTAGAGATCCAGAAAAAACTTGTCCAACACATTTACCACTTGAGTACGCCATGACTAGTATATCAACTCTTTTGATTTGAGTTCAATAGGTAATAAAAAAAAGGTCAAGGTCAACGTGAACTACCCATGGTGCATAATTGCCCTTTTGATACATTTTAGTTTATCATTTAGTTATCAAACATAGAAAGAAATTTTCTCAAATATAATAGTAATATATGTCTAGGTTCTTCGACTATATAGAATAATAATATATATTTATTACAACATTGTTTCTGTTGGTTATTATATATGTTTTCTTCATAGTTTTTCTGTATGATGGTTAATGTATCGGTGAATCATTTTTGTTTTCAAGATCAATAAACTTTAATTGTATTTTCAGATCCTCCTGGTAAACCGTATTTTCAATTCTTCGCACAAAATGAATTTGCCATAGATGGCAAGTTACTTCAAGACAAACTTATCGTAAAAGAAGGAAGCCATTTCATTGTTATATGTAAATCCGATGGTGATCCTTCTCCAATATGCACATGGGCAATTGAAAATGATCCAAAATCTCCAAATCTAACATTTACAAATATAACGAAGAAACACAGAGGGTCGTATGAATGTATTGCAGGAAACGTAATTAAAACATTTCCTGAAGGAGAGACAACTGATAAAGAATCAACGGCGGGTCTTGTCATAGATGTGCTATGTATATTAATTGTTCTTTTGTTTCATTTAAAAATATTGATCTTTAATATTTAAACTGTTTAATTATTTCTTATAATAAAAATTCAAATTCTAGCGTGTATTTTACGGAATGCCGTTAGGGCCATTGCCTATGAATGTGTTGATCTGAAACGCGACAGTCGATAGTACGATGGTGAAAACGCGAAATCACGAAACTACGATGGTGAAAATGCGAAAGCACGATGATGAAAACGCGAAAGTACGATGATGAAAACGCGACAGTACGATACTACGATGATGAAAGCGCGATAAACTATCGTGTTTTCACCATCGTACTGTCGCGTTTTCACCATCGTAGTTTCGTGATTTCGCGTTTTCATCATCGTACTGTCGTGTTTTCATCATCGTACTATCGCGTTTTCACCATCGTACTATCGCGTTTTCACCATCGTACTATCGCGTTTTCATCATCGTACTGTCGTGTTTTCATCATCGTACTATCGCGTTTTCACCATCGTACTGTCGTGATTTCATCATCGTACTATCGCGTTTTCATCATCGTACTATCGCGTTTTCACCATCGTAGTTTCGTGATTTCGTGTTTTCACCATCATACTATCGACTATCGCGTTTCAGATTAACACATTCATAGGCGATGGCCCTAACGGCATTCCGGAATGCCGTTAGGGCCATCCCCTATGAATGGTTTGATCTGAAACGCGATACTCGACAGTACGATGATGAAAACGCGAAATCACGAAACTACGATGGTGAAAACGCGACAGTACGATGGTGAAAACACGATAGTTTATCGCGTTTTCATCATCGTAGTATCGTATTGTCGCGATTTCATTATCGTACTATCGCGTTTTCATCATCGTGATTTCGCGTTTTCACCATCGTAGTTTCGTGATTTCGCGTTTTCACCATCGTACTATCGACTATCGCGTTTTAGATCAATACATTCATAGGCGATGGCCCTAACGGCATTCCGTAGTATTTAAATGTAAATATACACGTTTCTGTTTTAACATTTTGGGTAAGTTACTAAGTTATTGCTTTCAGTTTCATTGAGTGCGTCAGATTTTTTTTTTTCAGACCAAAGTAAAATAATACGTTTCAATGTCATTGGAATTGAAAAGACAAGGGAACATTTCGAAGTCACTGAAAACGAAACTATCGTCTTTATATGTAGTGTTGACAGTAATCCAGCATCATCGATATCAATATCATTTAAACAAAGAGAATTGGGACGGAATGAAAATACGAAAAGTCTAGTTCAAATAAAAAAAGTAAACTCTTGTTTTGATAATGGTGTTTATCAGTGTTTGGCGCACAACAAATGTAATGACAAACCATCGTTGGAAAACTTAACGTTACTTGTAAGATGTAAGTTTATTTCTCTTATTTTTTTTGGGGGGGGGGGGTGAGTATTTATCTAGAAAGTAGCCCTTTCCAAATGAATGTGTGGTATGTTTATATAATATAAGAAAAACGCTAGTTAAGGGAAAGTTATTGCATTTGAAACTTGTGTAGAAAATAGATGTTGCTCAATAGCCATATTACACTATAAGGGTTGTTCGGAAAGTTTCTTTTATCTCTTTTTTTTTTCCAAAAAATATCTTCACATTTTTAAACCTTATCCGTAAATTTAAGGAATATATATGCCAAAACATATTTTTATCGAAAAAAAAACAAAAAAATTATTATGTAACCAATATTCTGTGTACCATCCCATGTCAATACAAAAATGGGGGTTATCTTTTTTTCAAGGGAGCATATTTTGTACGTAGTCAAAAATAAAATGTACACACCTTCTGGATATTTCATTTCTTAAGGTTTGAATAAACGATTCTTCATAAATAATGCTATCCCAAATTGAGATTGTTTAAAACGTTCAGAAAAAATCTGATAAAAGAGTGATCCATCAGATTAATTAATCACAAAAAACATTAGAATTGCAGATTCGGTTTGATTGAATCTATACATGCGGGTTATGAACAAATGAAACATCCCTCAGGAGCAGACTCAATTTAACAAGATATTAATACATGGCAGAGTAGGGCCGGAAGGTGATCATCGGCCTGCAAAATGAATAATGGCCCCGAGATTTTATTTCTTTCTTCTCGAAACATCTTCTTCAGGGAAATAAAGTATAACACATAATAAATAAACAAAATTCAATCATTAATTTTAAGGGGAGACACGCTCAAGAAAAACTATTTATTCAGTCTGATTTTTTTCTCAATATTTTATAAATGTCCTCTTAATGAATACACTAGGCTATCACAGGAACACGACTTTTCTCCTTATAAAGAATAAAATGGTGGTTTTGAGCATTAAGATTTCACAATAGTTGTTAAAGAGAACTATGAAAACGTTTAAGTACCTGTAAAATGAATGACTAAGACTTTTTTCTATATACGAGGGTTGTTCCAATATTCTGTGACAAGATTGTTTAAAGCTAAATAAAACAGGTACGAATTTGATATTTTAATATGTTATAAACCCATATAATTTAAACATTTTCACAAATTTTCATAGATAAAAATCAACAAACAACAAAAATATGCCATAAACACCATTGCAACTAACTGAATCGCTGCGCACGTCCAACGTCAAAGACGGCGTTAAATCTATATGAGGCGCCTTTCTCAAACACTCTCAATGGCTTTCAACGCAATAATGGTACCCATAAATCGTCAATTTCTGACATAAATCATGTGGTTGTTAAAGTCTGTTGAATGTTTTGATGGCATACATTAATTTTTGCTATACGCAAACTTCCGGTCTCGTTACACCTGTTTTTAGCTGTAGGAAATAGGCGACGAAGATCGGTCTTCCCATCCGTGTTTTCCTTATTTTCGCTTTTTGTAGCGCAAAACTCTGGTTCCGTTCATGCCTTTTGTACACAAATGCTCAGAGTATGTTGCTAAACTGCTATATTTGGTATATTTGTTGAAAATCGTTTCATGTGTCATCTCGAAATAGTCATGAAACCTGAGTGACATGTTCACTGCGCCGCAAATTCATCGAACGTCGCCATTTTAACTTTCCTATTTTATATGAGATATTTTCATTTATTCGTATTTTTTTCGTTTTTTAAGTTATTAAACTAAAATTTTCAGAGATGATTTAAACATAGCAGCAGAGGAAGTCAACGTGACATTGTGCAGATACATCATCAGATATTTGAAATAAACGTAATTAATTTCAGCCTATGCATAACAAAATGTAAATTATTTGACGTGCGCCGGCAACTCAAACCAATGTCGTTAATACTGAAAATTTCTAAGTAGCTAGGGTAAATTGTTTGTGAATGGTTTGTTGTAATGTTGAATAATAAAGTTAACGGTTATATGTGTGAATTATTTTCTATTGGCGTTACAAATGAACCGGCTATAAAATTTGTCACGGACTTTTGGGACAACCCTCGTAATATAATGTAATATATGTTTCTGTTAAATGACTTGTTTTGAAACTACTTGGTGACTTTTGTCGGCCTCTTAAATTCGTTCAACATATAAAGATAAAATTACGCTTCAAGCCCAAAATATAGTGTATTTATACAGAAATTCATTTTAGGGCTTTAAAAATGTCATTTTAGCATGATGTGAGTAAATAAGATCAATATAATATTTTGTCATTTATTTTGCTAAGTATCCCTTTCAAAGATATCGCAAAATTATATAGCAGACAGCCAGGTATGCATGCTTCTCTTCAGGGAACCTTTTTTAAATTAAGATGGTCAAATGAGTTTAAATTTAATACGGCATGCATGTACAGAAACATGAATACATACGTGATAAAGATTAACCAAAATAATAAAGAAAAATAAATCAGTTCGATTGTCCGTACAGTGTTTACGGCGTGACGAGGATGGCCATTTCGACAAAGGTCTGGATCACCAATGCCATTAATAGAATTATACACTTTTGCACGTACCACCTCATGTAAGTTGACATATTGTTGGCTAGTAGGAACCTAGCTTGAGTATGTGGGTTGTCCAAAGTCTTTGAGTGGAGTATGGAGTCAGTGGGGTCAGACTCGCCAGTGCTAGAACAGTATGTTTTACGTTATTTCTCGAACAGCTTTTATATATTGACAGATTTATTTCATATGACATGTATTATGTTAAGAATATAAATATGGTGGTCCTCGTTCTTTGGCTTGGGTAAGGGGTCTGATGGGTCAAAGTCAATTATGTTAAAATGTTATCTTACTTATTTGCTCATAAAACTTTTATATAAAGACGAATTTATGTCAGATATAAAAGGAAAATATATCTGGCATTTGTGTTTTAATCATTAAACACGTTTATGATTTAACAGGCAGACCACTTCTTTTACCAGAGTTTGATCTGGAACCAAACATAACGAGTGCACAGAATGCGACTGTTACCTTTGAATTTAAAGCTCTTGCCCATCCAACACCCGAATTTCAATGGTTTAAATTAAGCGGCTCTACATGGAAGACAATGCTGACTGACAACAAATCAAAAATCAAAACTCTGGAACATTACTCCAGTCTTTCACTCAGCAATATAACTGAAGATGACTACGGACGCTACAGACTAAGAATACAAAATGAAATTGGTTTTTTAGAACAACTGTATTTCTTAAACGCATATGGTAAGTATAAAAATACTCTACATGGTTATAGAAATTAGAATATAAATCACATTTTAGTCTAATCTTTAAAATGAGAAAATAAATGAGTATCTATGCTGAGGAGAGTTGGAAAGCAAATGAAACCATGCCTTTTCAGACCATTTATTGTTTAGACTTAACAAATGATTATTTTCTATCGTGAGGAATGCCTCGCTCAATATAAGAACAAAAGTAAGGTACATTTAATCTATTTTAAGTTTGCATAAAGTGACTTAAAGAAGCAATTCTAATTTATTTGAAAAATAAATATTTTGTTATTGATATTTTCAGATATTAAAAAACTTTTTAAAATTAAATAAGGCCACTGAAATTGAAATTGCATTACAAATCAAATAAGGTCAATATAAAAAAAACTTACGCTTACAGACATACTCGTGGGAAATAATACGTGTTACTGTCCATGATTATATAACATCTATTTTTTCCTTAGAATGTTGCAACAGTGTGAATTGTGACACCTGTCTGGTTTAAAGTAATTTTGAAATACAGATTTTTGATTATTTAGAAAAGGTCCCTGGTAAATGAATGACCTAAAATTCAAACAACAGTATCAAAACATTGGCACATATCAGATAGTATGTTATTGATCAAGGCTTATCAATATTAAACTATCCATCGAAATTATTTTTAAGATAATAAAAACACATATATTTACCTTACAAATATCAATTTACAATAGTAACTATATTGGTATAACTTATTTAATCAAAACAATTAATTAAGAACGTTTGAATTTTAAGGTAAAAAGCTTTGAACCTATCTATTCTAAGGCGAATTTATTCTTTTCCGCACTCCTTTATATTTATGTGTTTGTTATTATTGTCTCTCGAGAACTGTTGATGATGTACACGTTGTTTTGTGTTTATTTTTTACCTCAACATGCATGTTAATTAAACACATTTCGTTTTAGATACAAAGGATTTGGTTTCAAACGAATCAAAATAATTTATCGACTTACTGTTTTAAAGGAAAGCCTGATCCATCGACAATGTTCGCACAATTGCGCGAGTATGTTACAGAAGCCTCCGCAATTCTTCAATGGAAACCTGGATTTGACGGCGGTTCTGAACAAATGTTTATTTTAAGATACAAACTTGAATCTGAAAAGAATTGGACGAAGATAATGATACCTGACACCGGTGATGAGACCATGCATTACAGCCTCATCTACTTGGAAAGTGATTCAGTTTATCATTCTGAACTAATTTCAGTGAATTCTCACGGGAAATCAATGCCCATTAAGCTTACATTTAAAACAAAAGGTAATGAGTACATGTAGTTAAATTGAATATATCTAAAATCAAAATAGTATATTAACATCAGAGTCAACTAACGTAATTTTGACGTATTCAATAAAAACTTTTATAAAATTACATTTCTTTTGTACTGACAAGTGATGGATATATGAAAACAGCATGAAAGCATTTACTTTGGCAAAAGCTATTTTAATGTTTTTTTCTGACAGTTGATTTATACAAATAGAAAACAACAGTTATTCTGAACAAGCCCATTTTATAAAGTGCTCATACCCGGTTCGATGTAAACGATGTTAGGTGCAAACCCGGGTTATAGTAACTATGATGAATTTCGGATTTTTGGGAAAATTTTCGTAACAGTTTTCTCAGAAACAACTTTTCACAGTCTCTTGATATTTGGTATCAGCAATAACATGTGATTCTTTGGGATTCGATTTTAGTTCTGTTGCTCATCCACTTCCTGTCTACCGCTTTAGTTAAATTATTTTCGACATTACAATGGCCAATGGTGGGAAATTTTCGTAACAGTTTCCTCAGCAACTACTCATCACAGTCTTTTGATATTTGGTATACAGTATGAGCACGTAGTCATTCAATTTCAGGTCTGTCGCTTATCCAGTTCCTGATTTTATACCTACTAAGTTAAAATTTTCAATATTAATGGTAATTGATAGAAAAATTTTCGTAACAATACATTTTCATGATATTTGGTTTACAATTGCAGCCCGGTCTTTTCTGTCTTTGACCCATTTTTAAAGTATTTAGGACATTTCATAAGAGAGGGAAAAATCCAGCCTTGCAGTGTTTCTATAGTTGTTTTTCAATGGAAATTACAATTAAACGAAGACAGTTCTTTCAAATTAGAACATACGAGTATGTGTCAAGTATTATTGTTTTGAAATGTAGTATCATTTTCTAAATGACACTGTAGATGTCCCTGCTTAAGTTAAATACCTAATGCAAAGTTACGAACAAGTAGTATAAGTTATGTTTAGTATCATGCCAAAATAAATATATTAGTCTGTATAATGTTTTTCTTTTCAAAAACAACAGCAAAGCAACAAACGGTAGATTCTACAACTACTTGGACGTTGATTTGTGTCTCAGCTGGTTCATTTGCTGTCAGCATTTTTGCTGTTGTTGTGACCTTTTTGTGCTGCAAATTTACCAGGTAATGTTAAGGTAGTCCAAATGTTATGCTTTCCGGCCAAAAAATCTAACATCGCCTAATATCGTAATCAATTGGTAATTTCCGAAATGTTATTTTCCACAATCTTTGGTATTCAATAACCAGAATTTAGTACATAGCGGTTAAGGATGAGTGGTTGTAAATGATCCTATGCTCAATATTTTGAAAACAAAAGTTCCGAAAATAACCGATTTGCAACGCTATTGGTCGATGTTAGAATATTTTTGCGAAAAAGCATGACAGTAGAACGACATTAAATGAACATTTTAGCAGTGGAAGCTAGTAAGTATGCGTGGAAAAAAATCAAAGGTATTCGAAACTGACACTTTTACAATTAACTGATGATACAGATGATTGAACGTGTTGTAGGTATGTCTGCCGTAGAAGGTCGTACATTGCGAGATGTAATCAAAGATGATACATTTTCGATTCCTGTATATTGTTAAGACGGCATTATTTTTGTTGTGCTTATGATTATTTTGGTTCTTTGTATTTAGCTGTTTCAAAACGGGTGCTTCCAGTATTCCTTATTTAAATACCATTTAATAACCCATAGGATATGTTGCCGTTTTAACAAATATGTCTCATGCCAGTTTATTTGCTTAGTTAGATATTTAATCGTTTAAGGCACATGTTTTTCTTCCTTTGGGACATTACGCCGCTTTTCATGGAATGGCACTTACTTGTTACATTTAAAGTGTCATGATAATCGCCGTATGAGTACATCTGTCGATGTTTCAATATTCAAGATTTTAAATGTTGAATTCTACATAAGCCGAAGTGGACGGATGCTTGCATTTGTCCGTACTGTCCATGAACAGAGGCAGCAATACTTTCAATTTTGCCGTTTGGAGCGTTCATTTCTCTTGAGAGTTTGAAGTAATCAAAGTGTTGCAGTTTATAAAAAGATATAACTGTATGTACTACGAAAATTTATAGCAAGTGTTTGAAACATAAATGTTTTGTTTTATTTCAGACAAAGAAATACTCGGACAATGACTATTAGTCAAACAGCTGGTAAGCGTCTATACTGAATGTATTAAACTATGAAATAATGTTTTATACTTTTTCAGATATAAACAGATGATAATACAAATAGTGAAAACTTGAAAAGTGGTAATATTGTAAGGAATAGATTTTTATGAGTAAATGAGACATGTTTAAATACTTTCGGTAATCATTTAGGCAAGTGTCTTAATTATATTAAAATTTGATGCTTTGTTTTATGAAAACTATATCTTACATTTGAACAAATATTGTATGTAGACTACTTTTTTAAAGACGGATTGTTACTCAAAACATATTGCGTATGTTTTATAACCTAATTGTAATAAAATGTTTTTGTCCATAGCTAAAATATTTTTCAGAGGTAATACCTGAGAATCAAAATCAGACAACATTTTATCTGGATGGCATAAATACAATTCATGAGTATGAACAACTTGATGGCCATAGTTTGGAGGATAGAGAATACACGGAAATGCAAACAATTAAAGCGGGCGATGATTCAAACCGGGATTACTTAACCCCGACAATTTAGAGCGCAATATTAGATTCAATGTTATTGACTTTATGGTGTTGCTACATTTTATAAGATATGTACACTGTATTTGAAATGACTAAGATATCCCTTTGTAAACGGCACATAAGATGTTTTTTAGAGGTTTAGGTGCCTATTGCCTTTAAGTTAACAGTAAAGGAACAGTCATTTTGATAATTATATAACAAAATGCGTTTCCAATTAGTAGACCATTTACTCCCGAAAAAGTTTTTTCATTCAGTATATTTGCTACACTATCTGATATTGAATATAAAACTGCCAAAGACGTCTTGAAAGTATGTAGCTAGGATAAGATAGCTTTTTCCCCTGAAACGAAAATGCACGAAATTTATTCAAAATACATGAATTTGATATGTGACAAAGGATGATTTATTGTATAAGTTTGAAAAAATATAATATTGTTTTCTTTTAATTGCTTTGAGATGCTATTAATAACAATGAGTCAACATTTATTTCTTGCTACATTGATACGTCATGAGTATAAATCATTCTTTTAACGTAGGCTATTATTCATGGTAATATACATGTAAAGTAACAATAAAATCAGGCAAGATATAACACAATAATCTAGTTACTCGTATTTTAGCACCTATGTATGTGCATGTGTGCGTGTTCGTGCATACGTGTGTGTTTCGGTCACATATTTACGGGTATTTTTTTTTTAATTTTCAAAGTACATCGAATATTCAAAACGGTATATTAATAAAGGATATATTAAAGGGTTCTACAAAAATATGCACAGTAGTCATTTAAAATTAATAGTATCACAACATAGATAGAACCAGATATCAAATTCGTCAATGGACCTTAACTTTGTGCCGTTGGTATTTTGATCTCACTTTCTTTTTTCTAAATATGTAAACATCTGAGAATGGTTATCAAAAGTCAACCGTCTTAATATCTTTTATTATTATAATATCAAAATTATATTTCTTAGAACAGTCTGCAAGTTCAAACCATTTTTCATATACATTCTTGTCAATAAATAATTGTTTGTTTGTTGTTGTTGTTGTTGTTGTTGTTGTTGCACTGTACACTTGATATTATTATTATTGAATAAGCTATTAGCACTTTACAATGTATGATCAAAATAATTTGGCACTTTAGACTCGAAAATGATGCCGACTTTGAAGAGAAGCAATTCACATTTGAATTTTAGCAAACTATCATTCGAAATTGTATGCCAAAATATGCAATTGAGTAAAAATGTAAGGGGTTAACAACGATTCTTTAATAGAAGGTACTTTTCAATGAATACACTTCGATTTAGTTGAAGATATGTTTTATTGTGACATGTGTCAAATATGCTAATTGTTTGAAGTATTTGTTGCACGGAATATTTTGATGTGTAGATTTATCTTAAATAAATGCTATGTAACTTGAAAAAGGATTGTATTCCCCTCAACTTGTACATGCAACTTCTTCTGTTTTTATACATTTCCTAACGCTATTATTGAATAATAACATTGCCCTATTTTCTTTATGCATTGTTATTGTAGAGTTTATAAGTATTTGTCATATTTATTTCCTTGCAAAAACGTTTGCCTTTATTCTATTGTTGACGATTATTGAGAAAGAATCGTACCATTCACGAAGTGTCTTTTGAAGTTAGTGATAATCAGGATACTTTTATAAATGTTGAACTGTTGGATAACTCTTCCGGTCGCTAAAATCTGTCACAAATTACTACCATGGCCTGTTGTATTCTCCCTTCAAACGTTAAGACACCGGTTTAGTATTTTGATTAAATGCTCAATTATTTGTGTATGATAAACGACTGAAAGATAAACAATGCTCATCTACAGATATTGCAGATTTTTTTTTTGAAATCTTGGTAAATAATTTGAATTATAGAATGCATAGTCTGGGTTTAGGAAGCTGCATTCTCTATTACTGAACAATTTAAAATACCTGTCATTTCATTACAGCGTTGCCATAAAAGTGTTTAAACCCCGTCAGGGGCATGGCGCTGTTTCCTAATATGCATTGTTTAGTTTCAGAGTGTTTCACTGAAGCTTAACACAACCGTACTAAACCAAATACGTATAACTTAATTTTGTTAATGATACTATGTAATCATACAATAATCTAAAGAGAATCTTATCTGCGGGTACTCAACGGATGATTATTTTAAATTTAAAAAGAGACTGCATTTATCAGTATTTCAAAATATCACATTTGAGCATTATGTATCTCTACTTAGTTAATCTGTAACGTATTATTTATTGAGTTACATCTGTAACGTTTTAACATTACATATGATGTATCAGAGTATACATTTTATTTCAATGTTTCAGTAACTATTTTGTTTTATAGACATATTGCATATATAGAGTAGGTAAGATATTATATATTTTACCAATTTTTCTGCTACATAATGTTTAATGTTTTAAAGATAAAACTCTCTTGTAAAAACACAGTAAAAATGGAACCTTATATGTAAAAATGAAAATCTATTAAATAGTATCTACCCTATCAATGAGTGTTTGTTTAACTCTAGTATGTAATATGCACACATTTCTGTTTAAATAGATGATAACTAAATGTATGTTTTTTATCATTTTGGAAAGTATGACACAGTTCTAGTCTAGTGTAAAGTAGAATAAGACATCTACATGTAGTCATTATATGTATTGTCTTAATAATCATTTTATTTACAAATAATATGATTTCAGATCAAAATAGCATGAAACTAAATACATCATTTACAGTTGTAACATCACATTTTGAATAGAGCAAAATGGTGTACTAGTATTATTATTTTTCAATTAATGGGGTTTGTTGTGATTCTAGTTTAACTGTTATATAAGTCTACAGGATGTAAAGTTAAAATTTTGGACATATGAAAGCATCCTGGTTGTTTGATATACATGAGTACAGCGTCTGTTATGCTTTACAAAGTAATATCTAAAAAAAGATGCAAAGATCCCAATCATTTGCTCATTTTACAAACAAGTTTTATTCTAAAATAGTTACTTATGATGCTTTCATATTAGCAAACATTTCGAACATTTTACTCTTAATAAATTAAAATAGGTATAGATGTTTTTATTTGATAGACTGAAAATAATTCAATTAGATTAGGATTCAAGATAATAATCTTATTTGAAAAAATGACAGTTAGTAACTGGCATTTAGTTTTGTAACTGGCAGTGGAGTAATTTATTTATGTCTTTGTAACAAGCAAAACAAATGACCTACTTGTTATATTTAGACTACACATGTTCAGAATAGGTTTCACAAATCCTTATAATCTATTTTGTCGTGTGAATGGATAGTCATATCATTTACAATGTAACACACGTTTAATTATTGCTATTTGAGACGGTATAAGGTGATTTAATATCTTTAGTTAAATGATCTCAGTATATAAAGTTGTATGCGATATTTAACTAATATTGGTCAGGTTTCAGTAGGTTTTTAAAATTTAAGACATTTTGTAATGTTAAAATATTGTTTATATTATAAGAACTGAATACCCCAATGGCATAGAATTGTTATCACAAGAATGCAGGTTCGAATACTCGATCTTTTTTATTTCTAACCTGTGCGACCTTCTTATAATCAAATTTGACCTTTATACTTTTATATCTCTTTGGTGGTTCATTTCAAAGGTTGGATCAGTTGCAAATAAGCAAATGTTCAGAAAACACAACTTTCAAATATGTCATCGGGACTTTTCTGACCTTCGGGAGAAAATTGAAGATAAAGTCTGTGTAAGTTATGATAATTAAATTATTCTGCGCAGATCATAAGCAGATCCAGAGGAACTATTATCAGAGCATCCATACATTAAAGAAGATTTTTTAGCGTTATTTTGTGTTGACAGAGGTGCCTTAAAAGTGTATAACACTGATTTTTAACCAAGAAACAATAAATATGCACAAGCAAGACGACTCAATTCACGGTGATAGTCATAATTTGTAAAAAAAAAACATTCGAAGTGTCCTTTGTATAAATGCAAAGGTGTACTTTATTATCGTTGATGATAAAGGTACCGACAAATATGCAAATCAGGGCATGTAAACCTTTTAATAGAACTTTTTTATAAAATTAAATATCCAGTAAGAATTGTTTGATATTGTCAAGGTCAATGCGTAATTTATTTTGTTATTAAAAAAGAATGACATAATCTATATGTGTTTCATCTCTGAATTGTGAAACAAATTAGTCGACTTACAATAACGTGAACCATTTCAAAATTAACAGTTACCAGAGCATGGTATATCAAGAACAAGTAAGGCCCTGTTTGCTTTTGACCTAGCAGCAGTATTCCTGAGCCGTGAAATATTACAGATGTTAAATTATTTAATGCCGTCGTACTATAGCACGATATTTAAATTTCTAAAAATTATTTTCTAAATATTTATGTTTCCAAAATTTTTTTTTTTTTTATTTCAGTTCATGTCATGGTTAACACCGAATAAACAGTTTTGGAACATTAGCAAAACCGTGTTTACTATTTAAAATAAATGTCAAAATCGAAATAATTCAAATCGTCAAAAATCTTTATGAAAATGCTGTGATGGCAGAGATCTAATAATGTAAGGGCAGATCACTGCGTAAGAAATTGGATAAAATCAAGAATATCTCCGTCTGAATTGTGAAACTAGTTAGGCGACCTACTTTTATGTGGATCATTTCAAGATGCATAGAAACCAAAGCATATATTTAGTAAATCTTGAAATTTAAACCGTTATTAACATTTCCTTTAACTTACACAATATAATTCAAATATAAGATAATAAAGATAATTGAAGGAAATCGCTTCCAGCTTTGAAATTCGCCGACGGAATAATTCTTATCTACCTTGAGAAGGTCCCATAGTTTTAAGGTATAAATTTATTAATACAGTTAGGTGAAATGTATCACCGACTTCTTTTATATTTAGACTACACCTGCGTATCTGAAACAAAATAATCTATTTTTGTCAACTCAATTGACTACAAATGGTAAATATTTACCGCGTTGCAAGGTGATTCAATCCAATAAATAATCTCATGTAGAAATAGGCATGCATTATGTTGAGATAAATATTATTTTAAAAGCATGTAACAGTAAGGCGTATAGCTTTTATACATTTTTTCCTTGCGCAAGGCTGCAGGCTCAAATCCTGTTTATAAATATAAAAAGACATACATATATTTAAAGTTATACAAATATTTTAAGTTATGAAAAAATTAAGTGACATTTTTCTTTTTAGTCGTCGATAAGATAAGATAAGTAATGAAATGTTCATTTTCATGTATATTAACAAAACATTCAAATCTGTAAGGATTAAAATATTGTAAATAGCTGTAACGTAATATACATATTATATGTTATTTTGGTTTTGGAGTGATATATGTGGATATATTACCTGCTAAGATTTTATATCACCCGAGCCGTTAGGCGAGGGTGATATTTTATCTTGGCAGGTAATATATCCACATATATCACTCCAAAACCAAAATAATAATTTTATTACCCTTCCCCTGCCGATTTTAGACGATTTTTAAAAAAAATCATTGCTGTTTCAAATGAAACGTCGAAATAAGATTTCCCTTTAGGGTACCTCTTCATCACAACATTACGTCACATTAAATACATGACGTATTTTCCCGTACCTAACTAATGTAAAACAAGAGAAAAGGAGTAGTCTACTGAACGCACTTTTTTGTTAATTAATATCAAGCTTTCACAAAGGTCATATTTGTTTTCAATACTGATGGGAATATGTATCATTACTCTACTTTGGTAAATATTTATCATTTGACAGTTAAAATGTGCTTGTAAATCAGAATTTACACTGCGTAAAATCGAACCGTACGCGCATCACCTCAGCGCATGTTGTTTACAACGTTGGGTACCCAACGGGGAAATTTAGTGTGTATATTACCCGTCTGGCTCGGTAATATCAATTTCTTTCGGGTGATCAATATCCAATCAAAAAGGCGGAAAAAATCTGGAAGGGTAATAAAACTATCTATCTATTAGACATCAATCGATAAGGCTCAAATAATTTTCAAATTTTTAATTGCTTTTAATTTCAAAAGAACTACCATGCCTAGTTATTATATATTTGACATGTAGCATTGCATAGTTTACATAAATTGTATAAATTGTTCCGCTGGCATAGAAATCGATCTTGCCTACCTAGGCGTCAAGTAGCCAAATACTTATTTTAAAGTTATACATAAAAACATATATAAATCCTCATATTGAAATCGCGAATTCTAAGAGATTGGATATATACATGGATAATTCCTAGTGTCAAAAATAATATTCCCTAGGGTCACTTCGGTAACATTCACTTGTATAATAGAAAATGTGAGTATCATAAACTGATCAGTCAAAGCTTCACGTGCGTTATTAAACACAAAGCCATTTGGTCAAAATAAGATTTGCCTCCAAATGTCACTGAGATTTTTTTGACATAGATATGCATTCAGTCTCCTTGTGTGGAATATAAAGACCTTACATTTAAAACGTGAAGTCAAGTACAAAATTATAATGAACTAGAGAGAAAAATAATCTCGCTTTTGGGGGATCGGGGTCGCCTCATTTTTGTATACATTGCTTGCAATGTATACAGAGTTATAGCTGTATTTCAGATTTAGTACACCTAACGTGTTTTGCTGAACAACATCCACCTTTGGATGAAACCTCGATAAAAAGTAGATCCTCATTTTGCAGGATTGTCACATTAAAGATCACTTTTTAATTAATATACTGTTTGCATAGTGGTC